TTGAAACGAATGCAGGCCATCCGTTGATCTCCGACAAGCAGATAAGGTCGTTGCAAATCCGCCAGATATTCGTTTGCCATCTCATCCGGACGAAGTCGCCGCGCCACAAATTGATCGTACGCGTCATTTTGATGCGTTGCAAACTTGCTTTCTCTTCTTTGTTTAGTTGCTGGTATATGGCTAGTTCGCCGTTTTGAAGACGCAACGGTAGTATTAGCTTGACATCCGTTCTCTTACAAATGTCACATATCATCTAGGCACGCTGAATCCACTGTATAACCGGTTCGTCCGTAGCGGCACCATCAAACTCCGGAATTAGTCGATAATCAAACATCCTGCCCATGATAAACAAAAGCAACAAAGTGAAAGAAATTCAATTTGCCGAAATAGCTTATAGAGAATTTAAAGTAGTATCTCATGTTCAAAGCAAGACAAAATATTTGATAGTCCAAACACTATAAATCCGGTTGGGTAGAAGAGATGTTGCAAACAAGAATCGTACGTCCAATATCAATAAATCCCAGCACACGTCGAACCGCACTGTTCAACGGTCAGATTCAAATTATTTATTCTGTATCGTAAAGAATTATATCACAAGGCCTGGAGAGGAATAGGGAGGGGCCGGTCATCATTAGCTATCCTAGTCAATCAGATTCACGACCCATCAGTCATTACAATTTACACATTCACCACAAGAACTCATCCATCACCTCTCAATCCTCTGTGAATACGTGGTATTGTGGTATACCACAATACCACGTATTCACAGAGGATCTCTAAAACACCCCATGACATAAAAATCCGATGAGATTCTAAAATGTCCTTTTTTTCCATGTTTTTCTTTTTTTAAGATCGCGAAATACGAGCCGTCAGCTCGCTGAGATAATCCCAGAAAGGGCGCACCTAAGGACAGTGGTTGAAGGCATGCGAAGCCGTTTCCTCTAAGCCAAGGTGACACTGATGACAGTCTGGCAAATCTGAAGGTTACGTCATTGAGAGGTAGCGCGTTCCGAATCTAATCCCCAGCTAAGCGAAAACTCAGAGTTGCTGAGATAATCCGCCGCTAACGCCCAACTCCAGAAAGAGCGCTACTCTGATGCTGACAAGTCGAGCCGGTCACACAGAGGATCCTTCGCGACTCCTTCTATTAATTCACGATACAATAGCCAACGAGGCCGAGAAAGGTCACTGAACCGAGGAAAGACTTTCAAGGGAGACCGATACTCGCTGATGAAAATCGACGCTTAGCCCAAGAAATGGGAGGAGTGATGATAAGGCTAGGGAAGGCATCTCTAACACTCTGCACAAAAATTGAGTCCTCTGTCAAAACACGGCGTCGGAAAGCCAACTTTGAGGCGTGTCGATGACTCGCCAGAATAAGAATTTGGTACATTTTGATGGTGAACTCTCACCATGATACGGACGCTGGAAACAGGCTTCTTTACATACCGAATGTTTGCGACCACCCCACAAGAGAGTGGTCTATAAACGTCGATCGCTTCCATACGAGTCCTGCAAAGAGGAAATACAGCCAAGCGCTAAAGGATGAGAGGCAAGACGTAAGTGGCACAGCTCTTCTCTTCAAGGACAACCTCCTTCGGAGCCAAGTCCAGACCGACGCTCCGACCTTTGCTTGTACCTCTGACCAATTCTTCTTTAGCTGAAGTCCGGGCCCGAACCACACTCCAAGAATGCGGACGGGTTCATCAGTCCAACCAAATGGCACCGGAAGTGCGACCCCCTTCCAGGCACCTAACCGCAAGCCGGGAGACTTGTTACGGTTAATTTTGGCCCCCGTCACATTCTCGTACTGTTCAAGCGCCTTCTGTACCACCTTAATGTCGGACAGTCTGCAAACATCTTAGTTAAAATCTTTAACTCTGTATTTAATATCGTTAAAGGTCGAAAATTACAAACATACCATGTTTATCCTTACGTAGTCACTTAATCACAGGCCTGCTGAAGCGTTGGTGTATAGATCCCTTCTCGTGTTGTAGATCAGTTCCAACAAACACGACCGACTGCCTCAAATATAGTTCCTAGGCAAGACTATTTGTCCTCGGAGTTTTGTTCTGTTAACCAGTTTCAGCGCTTCCCAGCCGTTTCAGTCCGAGAAAAGCGAGTAAAATCGGCTAAATAAGCGTCGAACAGAGCAGGCTCTCTAGTGAAAAGTGCATTGTAGTAATCATGAAAAACCTCAGACATGCCTACGATTATTTACATTATTCGGACTATTGTCCTCATCTTTGTCGCCATATTTATTACACCGTTTCGGCCGTTGTCCATGTTTAATGGATGTCAGTTATCAGTTATCTCCTGTTAATTTCCCTCTGAAAGTTCTCACTGCCTTAACCGGATATTGAACTCAAACTCTCTGAGATCTAAGTTAAGGCTTTGGAGAACTTTCAGAGGGAAATTAACAGTGAGATAACTGATAACTGACATCCATTAAACATGGACAACGGCCGAAACGTTGTAATAAATATGGCGACAAAGATGAGGACAATAGTCCGAATAATGTAAATAATGTATATAATACCTCATCTCAGAAATATAGACAGATGCCTACGATTATAGTCATCTGTTGTCCATCCAGCAATGTAACGCTCTTGTTATGTCGATTAGTTGCGTTTCAAAGCTTTTCTGTGCGCAATTCAACAGCCATGTTTGTCGCCTCATCATACATTCTCTTTAACCTAGCCCTAACTACCATAGCTTGGTCCTACTCGATAATCAAGGAGGCCAGCTTAACTCTAGCTGCGACTATTTCCTCACTATCTCCCAATTTTAAAGACCGATCTACATTAGATTCCCCCCCCTTTTGTGCTGCTAATCTATCTCGACCGAGTCATTGACTATAATCAGCTGCAAATAACCTGCTCCTAATCTCGAGATAATCCTATCACTTATTCCTAACCACAGTCCCCCGTCAGTAATGTTAGTAGTAAATGTTTCTGGAAATTCTTCTCATCGAATAACAAAATGTTAAATTTAGGCTAGGATGTCTAGTTTTGCACGAGCAAGCGGTATAAGCTACAGAAAGGAAACGTGGGCAGTCTAAAAGCCCTACATCGATTAGGTTATATGTAACTGCAACACAACTGCAAAATCGAGTTGCACACTACTTCCCGGGGTTGCTCATTTTGAAACTTATCGACAAGATGAAACCTGTCGATAACGTCACGATGTTTCCCCTATTCAGTTTGTATCTGGGTCATAGGTGGCATTCCGATTCCCCGTTAAAACTACCTGATTCTCGAGATGTCATCAAAAACGATTCGATCTGCCGAAACAAACCAGTTTGTATGGTCACTAGGTGCATAAACCACAATGAGATGAAGTGCCTTGTCCATTATGGTAACATCCAGCATGCAAAGTCTGCTCAAAAGATCTGCGAAAACAAGAGCACACGTTGCTGTCAAATACTTGCTCACTAGCCAAGAGATACTTCTCGAACAGTATCAAAATATTCTGAGAAAAGATACAACCTCTTTGACAGAATATCTTTTAATACCTTAGCGAAAAATGATTCAGATTGGGTTTTTTTTTTTTTTTGTTTTTCGTTTTTAGAAAAAAAATTGTTTACTATGACAAAACTCTTTTTCTCTGTACATTCATCTCTGTTTTTTAGAGTTAGATAGTTATTTTAACGATCTCCCAGTATACTTGTAGGAAGTAGGTCCCACCACGGATTTCTTAAAAAACTGAAAAATACATTTTAAATAATTTAAATTCCTTCTTTGAAGTTAAATTTTAGTTTTATTTGAGAGAGCATAATAACCTAAAGGAAAGATAATGCGTAAAAAAAGAAAAATAAGTTCACGTATGTAAAGTTTACTGACATTTTTCAAACAGTCGTACAGAGACACAGGTGACTGGCAGAGTTACTGATCGACTCATCGAACTGCTATTATAAACGATAAATGAATAGAAATATCAAAATTATCTTTAAAATACAATATTTGTTCTAGAGATTTGTTTCAAAGTAAATTAGTAAATTTAATAATTAATTAACTGGATTTTATAAAAGTAAAGTTTACTGGTTGCTTAAAACACGGCGAAAGTAACGTTTATTTACGTGTGTGCTATCATCAAGGACATAAATCAACAACAGTAGTCTTCTACTGTCATCTCGCTTACGTCCATATTATAGAATCGTCCATACTTTCCTGTCACCCCCTACGAGAAGATGCACTCTTCCCCAAATTAACCTTTAACCAATCATTACTTCACTTTTCCAAACTCAACTTCCCATTGGTTAAAAGGACACAAAAATGTAGCAAGTTGAAACAAATCCTTTTTTCTCGCGCAGCTGTCTGGAGCCTATTCGAAAACCCAAACATCTATAAAAAAAAGAATCGCTCGACTTAATTCAAGTCAGTCAGACACTGAGTTTCGAGAGATGCCAGCAGACTCCACGCGTGCCAACACACTGACTCAATAACACTACCAGCCTCTCATCAACTCAACACAACTCGCCGCATGAAGAAACTTAACTTGCAATTTACTAAAAAAGTGACATTATCACTACGAAATAGTAATTGTACATTTAATCAACTTTAGCATATCAGTCAACGGCACACAACTCTTCATAACTTGAATCAACACTTACAATTGTCACACACATACACACTATTATTTGAACTCACACAATTGACATTTTACCTTGCAGAAATCAAACTGTTTTAATTTCAAAAACAAACTTAAACCATCAACATTCATTCACCAAATCTCTGCATGGACACTCTTTGCAATCTTATCTCACTTGCCACATTTAACAAGCAACCTATTATCACTTTGTGTATGTCAAATATATATATATATATATAAATTCATGTTATTGTTGAAATTTATAACTACGTTGTATTTTCCTTGATTTCTTCAAGTTGTATTGTCTTCATATATTTATTTGTTGTGCATAATGTACACGCACATTTTAGGCCTTCACACAATTTCACCTTCTGGCACACCTTACTTAGCATAAATTCTGCAACAATATGACGTTGAAACATCGGTTCTCGTACGATCACCAAAGGTAAGCAACGCCGAGTCTGGTTAGTACCCAGATGCATGGCCGCTTAGGAATACTAGATGCTGTAAGGTTGTAAGGATGTGCGGGTAGTGTAATGAAATTAAAATTGGAAAACGGAGAGCCGAGTTCCAATTCTAGTCGGATATATTCGGTTATATTCGGATATATTCGGTTATATTCACTTACGCGTAATGGGTTAATTAGTAATCATTGTTATCTCGAAAATATTCTTACAGTCTAAAAATATTTTCTGGCTTTAATATAACCTGAAAAAGGTTGATAAGCTGTCAAAAAAACAAATAAATCAATTTACTGTCACCCTTGAAGCGCACGTAGTTTTCAATTGTCACCTCAAAGTGCTCGTAAAATGTTAAAACTACGAAGGATCAAAAAAAAAAAAGTTTATTTACAATCTAGAAATTATTATTGTTTATACTTAAAATTAAAATATCTTTAATCTTATATAACCAATAAAATTATCATTTTTTAATTCTATTGGTTTTTATGAATCAGTAGAATTAATTTTATTTTTATATTTACACTGAAAAGAAAATTACTTAAAAATTAGTTGAATGATACTTTCGACTTTAATTCATTGGTTTTATTTTTATTATTTTCTTACCTGTTTGATATCATAGAATATTTAATTGCACCCAATGATGTCTTTTTCAATTATTCTAATTTTAAAATTTCTTAAACAAAAAGGAATAAAAAATGGATAATTAGATAAAAACTTTTTGAATTGATATTCTTAATTGCATTCACAGAATTATTTATTTTTTTAAACTTTTGTACAAAAATAATCTAACAGTTATAAAAATGAAAAAAATCAAATAAAATTATTTAAAAAAAAAAATGTTCACACTCGAAAATGGCATAAAACTTTACAGTGTTCAATTTATCAAACGCACCTTTAATTTAAAAAAGAAAAAAATTATAGATGGTAGACTAGTTTTGCTTTCGTTTTGGAAAAAACGAATCGATTTTATTTTTGGTGCTACATAGTAAGAAGTATTTCTGTAGCGCCCCACCGAATTCATTTTTCGACGTTCACGTGAACTAATTTATTGCCATTAGAAGAAAAATATGATAAGGATTGGATTTAACTTTCATCGAACTGGATAAAGGTTTCATAACATTTATTGTAATTAAAATCAACGTCAAGAAATCTGAAAATTCTATTTGACAATGCAACATTTTGAAAATGTGTCGGTAGCCTTTCGCTGTATCTCCTTATCCATTTAGTGCCACATGTCCTTACTGGTGATTTTTGTTTCCTGTTAGTTTTCTTCTTATTTTACTTTTTTGCCTTCGTATCCGTCAAATGGTTGAATAAAGAACTGGAAAAACGCATTTATCTTGAAATAACAATGAAATAAAAATTAATATCTAATTTTATCTCCCAAGATTATTACTGCGTCGTTTTAACAGATTTTAATTTTCCAATCACAAAAGATCATCTTTTATATTATTACTGTTTGAATTCCATTTTCCTTCTTAGTCACAAATATTGATATTCCAGAAACTCCGACCAAATGGACACATTAAACTTGGCAAAGTTAAAATATTTCATAACAAGACAAAAAGTCAACAAAAGTTTTGAAAGGAATTCCAACATGCATACGCTTGAGAAAGGTATGAATCACGCTCTTCTCCCCAAGCTATGGGTTAATTAGTAAGATTTATATCACTAAGACAATTATCTCAAAAAAACAAAAACGCTAAAATTTCCTATACAGATCTGTGATCCCGTCGTTTTTTACTAAAATTTCGAACAGGATGCCTAAATATAATTGAATAATGAAAAACACTTTGCGTTTTCCCTTTTAATAATAACAAAAATTTTGACGGTAAAATTTTGTTTTTATTAAGTTTGGTGGATTTTTTCGTCACGGTATGCTATTTATTTATTTATTTATTTTTTTAATGAATCAGTGGTAGTGTGGATGTTAACAAGTTTGTGGGTTTTGTGTGGATTTTTTTTTAGTGAATCAGTGGTAGTGTGGATGTTAACAATTTTGTGGGTTTTGTGTGAATTTTTTTGTTTTTTTTCAGTGAATCAGTGGTAGTGTGGATGTTAACAAGTTTGTGGGGTTTTTTGTGAATTTTGGGGTTTTTTTTTAGTGAAATAGTGGTAGTGTGGATGTTAACAAGTTTGTGGGTTTTGTGTGAATTTTTTTTTTAATGAATCAGTGGTAGTGTGGATGTTAACAAGTTTGTGGGTTTTGTGTGAATTTTTTTTAGTGAATCAGTGGTAGTGTGGATGTTAACAAGTTTGTGGGTTTGTGTGAATTTTTTTTAGTGAATCAGTGGTAGTGTGGATGTTAACAAGTTTGTGGGTTTTGTGTGAAATTTTTTGTTTTTTTTAGTGAAATAGTGGGAGTGTGAATGTTAACAAGTTTGTGGGTTTTGTGTGAATTTTTTTAATGAATCAGTGGTAGTGTGGATGTTAACAAGTTTGTAAGTTTTGTGTGAATTTTTTATTTTTTTAGTGAATCAGTGGTAGTGTGGATGTTAACAGGTTTGTGGGTTTTGTGTGAATTTTTTATTTTTTTAGTGAATCAGTGGTAGTGTGGATGTTAACAAGTTTGTGGGTTTTGTGTGAATTTTTTATTTTTTATTGAATCCGTGGTAGTGTGGATGTTAACAAGTTTGTGGGTTTTGTGTTTTTTTTTTTTTTTTTGCGAATCAATGGTAGTGTGGATGTTAACACGTTTTGTGGGTTTTGTGTGAATTTTTTATTTTTTTAGTGAATCAGTGGTAGTGTGGATGTTAACAAGTTTGTGGGTTTTGTGAGAATTATTTTTTAATGAATCAGTGGTTTTGTGGTTGTTAACAAGTTTGTGGGATTTGTGTGAATTTTTTAATTTTTTAGTGTATCAGTGGTAGTGTGGATGTTAACAAGTATGTGGGTTTTGTGTGAATTTTTTATTTTTTAGTGAATCAGTGGTAGTGTGGATGTTAACAAGTTTGTGGGTTTTGTGTGGATTTTTTTAGTGAATCAGTGGTAATGCGGATGTTAACAAGTTTGTGGTTTTTGTGTGAATTTTTTTTTTAGTGAATCAGTGGTAGTGTGGATGTTAACAAGTTTGTGGGTTTTGTGTGAATTTTTTTAATGAATCAGTGGTAGTGTGCATGTTAACAAGTTTGTAAGTTTTGTGTGAATTTTTTATTTTTTTAGTGAATCAGTGGTAGTGTGGATGTTAACAAGTTTGTGGGTTTTGTGTGAATTTTTTATTTTTTTAGTGAATCAGTGGTAGTGTGGATGTTAACAAGTTTGTGGGTTTTGTGTGAATTTTTTTTTTTTGTAGTGAATCAGTGGTAGTGTGGATGTTAACAAGTTTGTGGGGTTTTTGTGATTTTTTTTTAGTGAATCAGTGGTAGTGTGGATGTTAACAAGTTTGTGGGTTTTGTGTGAATTTTTTATTTTTTTAGTGAATCAGTGGTAGTGTGGATGTTAACAAGTTTGTGGGTTTTGTGTGAATTTTTTTAGTGAATCATTTGTTGTGTGGATGTTAACAAGTTTATGGTTTTGTGTGAATTTTTTTTTGTGAATCAGTGGTAGTCTGGATGTTAAGAAGTTTGTGGGTTTTGTGTGAATTTTTTATTTTTTTAGTGAATCAGTGGTAGTGTGGATGTTAACAAGTTTGTGGATTTTGTGTGATTTTTTTTTAGTGAATCAGTGGTAGTGTGGATGTTAACAAGTTTGTGTGTTTTGTGTGAATTTTTTCTTTTTAATTGAATCAGTGGTAGTGTGGATGTTAACACGTTTGTGGGTTTTGTGTGAATTCTTTTTTTTGTGAATCAGTGGTAGTGTGGATGTTAACAAGTTTGTGGGTTTTGTGTGAATTTTTTATTTTTTTAGTGAATCAGTGGTAGTGTGGATGTTAACAAGTTTGTGGGTTTTGTGTGAATTTTTTATTTTTTTAGTGAATCAGTGGTAGTGTGGATGTTAAAAAGTTTGTGGGTTTTGCGTGAATTATTTTTTTAGTGAATCAGAGGTAATATGGATGTTAACAAGTTTGTGGGTTTTGTGTGAATTTTTTTTAGTGAATCAGTGGTAGTGTGGATGTTAACAAGTTTGTCGGTATTGTGTTTTTTTTTCAGTGAATCAGTGGTAGTGTTGATGTTAACAAGTTTGTGGGTTTAGTGTGAATTTCTTTTTAGTGAATCTGTGGTAGTGTGGATGTTAACAAGTTTGTGAGTTTTGTGTGAATTTTTTTTAGTGAATCAGTGGTAGTGTGGATGTTAACAAGTTTGTGGGTTTTGTGTGAATTTTTTTTAGTGAATCAGTGGTAGTGTGGATGTTAACAATTTTGTGGGTTTTGTGTGAATTTTTTTTTTTTAGTGAATCAGTGGTAGTGTGGATGTTAACAAGTTTGTGGGTTTTGTGTGAATTATTTTTTTAGTGAATCAGTGGTAGTGTGGATGTTAACAAGTTTGTGGGTTTTGTGTGTTTTTTTTGTGAATCAGTGGTAGAGTGGATGTTAACAAGTTTGTGGTTTTTGTGTGAATTTTTATTTTTTTAGTGAATCAGTTGTAGTGTGGATGTTAACAAGTTTGTGGGTTTTGTGTGAATATTTTTTAGTGTATCAGTGGTAGTGTGGATGTTAACAAGTTTGTGGTTTTTTGTGAATTTTTTGTGTTTTTTATAGTGAATCAGTGGTTGTGGATGTTAACAAGTTTTGGGTTTTGTGATTTTTTTTTTTTAGTGAATCAGTAGTAGTCTTGATGTTAACAAATTTGTGGGTTTTGTGTGAATTTTTTATTTTTTTAGTGAATCAGTGGTAGTGTGGATGTTAAAAAGTTTGTGGGTTTTGTGTGAATTTTTTTAGTGAATCAGTGGTAGTGTGGATGTTAACAAGTTTGTGGGGATTTTTGTGAATTTTTGTGTTTTGTTTTAGTGAAATAGTGGTAGTGAGGATGTTAACAAGATTGTCGGTTTTGTGTGAATTTTTTTTTTAATGAATCAGTGGTTTTGTGGATGTTAACAAGTTAGTGGGTTTTGTGTGAATTTTTTATTTTTTTAGTGAATCAGTGGTAGTGTGGATGTTAACAAGTTTGTGGG